GGTGCAACAATATAATGATAAACTACATAGTGATTACAAATTTTTTAAATTGATATACATATATTAACACGTTGAATGCCACGCTAGTTTTACAGGGATTGCCCGTGGCGCCACAATGAATTTTTTATTATGCGATACAATTATGTGTGAAATATTATCGACATGTATAAATAAAACTATTTTTATGTTTTATACTGCATTAATTTCTTCAAACCATTGTAGTAACGATGGTAATAATGAAGAATTTTTAAGTATTGACATTTGTTCTAATTATGTATTTCTACTAATCTTGACGCGCCGGTCACCAGTGGCCCCCACGGCGCTACCGCTAAGTTGAGTGCCGGTCACCGGTGACCCCCGTCACCGGCATTCAACATGTTAAAAAACATGATAAACAAATCTTCCGTAAGAGATGTTATTTTAAACGTAAAATTCAATACAGATTAATTAAGCATGTAGTATGTTACTACAAAACGAAAATATAATGATAAACTGCATAGTGACATATTGAAGAAAAACTACATACGCTCGTAAACAAAATTGAAGAATAATCTAAATGTAAAATATGTACAAAGATCAATTAATAATCTAAATATATAATATGCACATAGTTACATTGTAGAATAGAACAAAAATAATATAATGTTCGGGATTCACCGTGAGCCACGACCAAAGCGAGCGTCAATTTGGATTTTGAGCGAGGAATCGACCAGCGACTTCCTCGCGTGTAAACATCACGCGTGGCGCGTGATAGAATCGTGGTCCGCATCTGCCGCCGTTTAAATCCTCGTTCAAAACAACCGTGATTCTAAGTTTGTTGTCCCGCGAAAACATCGGCAATCGCAAACTCGCAACGAAGGTAGCGGATGGTTAGCTTTGCGACCACGAATCGAGCAGCTGATCGACGCACGGCCAATCCGCATTCGCCAGATCAGAAGTAGAACCGATAAAGTTGCGTTAACACGGCCATTATTTTGATTCCGCTCTCGCATTCAAACCGCACCGGCAGTCAACGTTCTCAGCTCGCGAAAAAAGTCATTACGATTTCCGCTGTTATCGCGCTCTCGGTTGATTACCGCCGTAGTGCAATCGCCTTCATCAATCAATTTTCTTTGAGTTTCTTTTTTGTTATTGAGTTTGTCCTTGCGTTGGAATGTACCGTCGCTGCAACGACGAATAAAGAAGTGATTCCGGAAGTATACGAGTTATGACACCACCATCACACGTCCTCGTCGCGGCTACCGTAACAACAAGCGCGCCTCCGCGTTCATTGCTGAGCGGTCCCGGCAATCTACGTGTGCTAACCGTTTGTACGGACGCTCACGAACATATAACATTACATCAAGAAAAAAATGCATAACTTAAAATACAATTTATAATAATAAATGATAAAATTAAAAAACTTTCTTAATAAATGTTTTAATTAATCACTCCCAAAATTCTCTCACAGTCTCTCACTCTCCCACTCTCTCTCTCTCTCTTTCTCATTCTTTCTCATTCTCTCCCATTCTCTGTCATTCTCACTCATTTTCTCTCTCACTCTCACTTTCTCTCATTCCCAAACCTTCTCACACTCTCTCACTCTCCTTCTCCCATTCTCTCACCCTCTCTCATTCTCTCCTATTCTCTCTCATTCTCTCTCATTTCCTCATTCTCTCTCTCTCTAATAAAAATCACTCATTCTCTATCTTCCTCTATCTCTCTCTCTCTAGCTCTTTCTCACTATCTCTCTCATTCTCTTACCCTTTCAACCCCTCACTCTCACACTTTCTCTCACTCCCAAATTCTCTCACGCTCTCTCTCTCTCTCTCTCTTTGTCTCTCACCCTCTCTCATTCTCTCCCATACTCTCATTTTCTTTTATTCTCTCCTATGTTCACCCATTCTGTCATTCTCTCTCATTCTCTCTCACTCTCACACTTTTTTTCACTCTCAAACTCTCTCAAGCTGTCTCACTCTTCCACTCTCTCTCACTCTCATTATCTCTCATTCTCTGCCATTCTCTCTTATTCCCTGCCATTCTCACTCATTTATTCTCTCACTCCGAAACCCTCTCACGCTTTCTCACTATCCCTTTTTCATTCTCTCATTTTCTCATTCTCTTTTTCTAATAAAAATCGTTATTTTATTATTTATTATTATATTATATATATTTATTATAAATACATATCGTATTCGCTGCTATGTGCTTCTTCAGCGCTCTCGTAGCGATGCACGCATAGCCCCACTCCTTTGCGTCCGACATTTCTTTTTATCTTATTACTGAGTCGAAATTTTCTTTTGTTAATACATCGGGTCATGATTAGGGGCAGGAGTTGAATATGTACTCCCGAATCTTAATAAACTCAGTAGTTAAGTATCATCACACTAAAATTAAATAATATCTTGTCGATCATTATAAGTTCGCGTTTTACATAATTGTAAAAAATTCACTACGATCAAATGTACAACAAAGCAAATATCAAATGGTATCAAGGCGAAATATAGTTGGAACTTTTTGAGATATATTCAAATCGATGTTATTTGAAATCATTTTATTTATTCACAACATGTACGTATATTTTTACATACGTATATTTTTACTTTGATATTTTTATGTTTCGAGATGTCCATAAAAACATGAACATATTTCAAAACGTTCCTTTATCTACATGTGCCAAAAATCTATTACTACAATTTTGCAAAATTGGGACGACAAATGAAAATGTAACATTTAATTAATAAAAATAGAGAAGCATACAAATCAGGCAGTGCTTATTTCCTTTCTAATACTTCAGCTGTATATATTCGCTTGATGCACCATTTATACGTGTAAGAGTCCATATGATATATATACATGTATTAAAGAAACTCCATTTCTCGCTCGATATCGACGAATTTTAATTGTTCCATTGGTCCATATTTGAAAATTATCGCATAATTTTAATTGTTTACAATTAATAAATTAAACAAAACATTGCAGCAACATACCTATAGTCAAAAAATAATTCTTCACCAGGTTAAATCGCTCTCTTAGCAAAAATACCTGTTCCATGATCACCGTTCACCATCATCACTTTTGCACAACAATTTGGATTTATCGAGTGATTAGCGAACTTTATTTTATTCTCTTTCCGTGTCGCGTCTATAACAAATTCTGAAAACGACCAAAAACTTTTAATTTTTGTTATTTTTCAACATTAAATTAATCATCATATCTATCTCTACTTACCATTGTTAAGATTAAAAAGGAAACTACACATATATTTATCATATACTTTTCCCCGCCTATCAGCTTCGTTTTGACTGATAATTTTGCTGCAATATTCCTAGATGAATTCATTCTTCACTGCTGATATTTCAAATTGTATAAAGTATATTTCAAATCAAAATTCTACTCATTGAGATTATATTGATTTTCACTCTAATAAATTAAATTTTTCGAAACTTATAAAGACCACGTTGCACACTGACATTTTTGCAAAATTTAGAATTGATTTAGAAATGATCTACACCATACGTTTGGCAAAGATCCGGATCACATTCCCTGACAGCCAGATAACAAGGACACTGATTTGTATTGCATTGCGCTTTGCACCTACACTCAGGAAATCTGTTCTGGCATCCGCTGCTGCACTGATAAAACTTCTCGCAGAAGTTTTGTGCTTATATAAATCTAAAAAAGAGTTGGATACATTAAGTATAATGTTATTATATTATAAACAAACTAAAATAACTTAGATATTAAGCACAATGTTATAATAAATTGTAATAAAAAGTAGTGAAATCAAAACCTTGCGCCAACTGATAACGAGAAAATATATAAAACATAGTTAACGTTAAAACAAAGAAATAATTTGGAGCAAAGATATTATATTCTTGATATTTCCTTTTGACACGAATAATGACAAAATTTTTATTTTGTAACCAAGAATAAAAAAATTATATTACACAAAAAATTAGTTACAAAAATATTAGTACAAAAAAATAAAATTAAAATTTACACAAAAAACATTTGGCGTGCTTATGTCGCATAATTTATAACGATAATGAATATTTCTGGAAAGTTAATATCTGAAACTTTATAATATACAGGCACATTATTATAAATATTGTTTTAAAAAAGGCACGCTGTTCGCGAGTCAGCTTGGAAATATGAAAAACAAAGAAAAAAGAAAGTTAAACGAAGTTTCAACGAATATTTTCATATTGCTGTCGTGTTATGATGTTTTGGGATAGCAGGCAGAAGAAGCCTCGATAAAGCGACCCAATTCCAAAATAAACAGCCGAAGCATTACGTCCAAATTAGTTCGATCGCTCTATTGTAATTTGAAGATTGTTGATCTCAGCGAAGTAACGACATGGCTGAATCTTCTGGAATTTCGACATCCAAGCTTGTGCCTAGACCGACACGAGACATTAGCGGCGAGAAAGAGAGGAGCTATATATATATATATATATATATATGACAATGGAAACCACAACTTCACTTCGCGTTCCGATTCGATTCTTTCTCGACGCCTGATCTCTCGTTCAGGTCCTCTCGCGCTTCTTTGTTAGCGGTTGCGACTTGCGTTGCTCACGGAGCAGAGCCGATCACTGCGTTGGTCCTTTCATTTTGCGCGTGATAATGATTTTCTGTTCTCTTAGATCCTTTCTTTTTTTTTTGTCGTGTAGAATTTTGGTATTCTTTTCTTTTTGTTTGTGATTGGGTTAGCTCGCAACACCGCCCGACTGGTGCGGTTCGATTGTGTGCGAGGTTGACCTTTAGACTAAAATTCAGCTAAATTCAATCTGATCAAAGACGGCTATTTTGAACCTCGCCCGTCCATCCATCTTCCTCCGCGGCACTCAATCGTCGATTCCACCGACAGCGTTACCCAGCGCTGGGCGATACCGGTAAGTCGCGGCGCGATCGACCTCACGCTATTCGGAGACGAAACAAATTTTGGTCCTTCGAGCCGGATACAAAGCGGTGGTTAAGGGCGATTCTGGTTGCGGACAGTCGCGCCGGAACTCAACATGGCCGAACTGCTGCAACAGAAGCAAGTGCAACGCACCATAGAGCGATCGCTGGAAAATTTCCGCAAAATCGGGAAGGTCCGATTGACATCGGCGACAGTGCGTTCCAGGATCACCGCACTCAAGGACTCTTGGCATCAATTCCAAACTGGTAGCGCCATTCTCTTGAAGCTGATTCCGGAGGAAAACCAGGCCTCAATCAATTATATTCGAAACGGCGCCTTCGACGCGACAGAAGAGGCCTATCTTACGACCTTGGACGTGAGCGAGCGTTTGGAAGAGCTTGATCCACCGGTGAGCCCGCTCCGAAACGGAGATACCAGTCAATTTTTAAGGACGTCAGGCATTCATGTCGGTCGATCATCTGCGAACTCGTTGTCGAATTTGCCTCCCATCCGTTTGTCCCCGTTCGACGGAGCGTACGGCGAGTGGGAGCACTTTCGCGACAAGTTTATCGCGCTCATTTTGCACAATGCTGAATTAAATGATTTTATGCGCATGCATTTTTTGACATCGTGTCTCAAAGGTAGCGCCCTCGAGACCGTGGCGCACCTTTCTATCACCGCGGATAATTTTCCGATTGCCTGGGAGGCTCTTCTCGCGCGATTCGAGAACAAACGCCGACTCATTCGCTTGCACCTCTTGACTATATTAGACGCGGCTGCTCTTTCGCGTGAGTCTGCGAGCGAGTTACAGGCATTGATCGACAGGATTCAGAGTCCTTATCGGCTCTAACGAAATTGTGGGTATCATCTGAGGATTTTTGGAACGATATTTTGGTTCACATCGTGGCGGAAAAACTCGATTCGGCCACTCGGAAGGTGTGGAATTTAAAAACGAGCGAACAGAAAGAGCCACCAGCGTTTTCCGATCTCGCTGATTTTATGGCCGCTCGCGCGCGGGCCCTCGATGATTTCTCAAGCTCAGGAAAGAAATCAACCGGCCGAGATGCACAGAGTTCGTGGGTGCACGTGACGAATGCGTCCGCGTCGCCTTCGTCGCCGGGATGCCCGATATGTAAGGCCTGGTATTACTTTAGCGCCTATCCGACATTTGTGCGAGCCAGTCCGAACCATCGGCGGGATTTAGTCAAGCAGCACAAGCGATGCTTGAACTGTTTGAGTCAAAGCCATACGGCTGCTGAGTGTCGAAGCAAGTATTCTTGTCGCGAATGCCATCAACGGCATCACTCCATGCTCCACACCATCTCTGATTCGTTCGCTCACCCGTCGGTTGGGACGTTAGAGGGCCAATCGCAATCGAACGTCGAAGAAACCTCCGCTGTCACATTGCTCGCGGCTGCAACACCCCGACGGCGAACGCCAGTTCTCTTGGCGACAGCGTGGGTCACAGTACGTGCGCCCACTGGTCGCACCGTCCAGATTCGCGCGTTGCTCGACCAAGGGTCAGAGATGACCTTCGTTTCGGAAAACGTGGCTCAGCTTCTGCGCGCGTGACGAAGTCGTATGTCGGTATCGGTATCGGCCGTCGGCGGTGTTCATGCCGACACCTTTCATTATGCGACGTCGATTTTCGTCTCTCCGCTCGATTCCGCTTCGCCGTCGCTCCCGACCACAGCATTAATCTTGCGCAAGCTGACCTCTTACGCTCCGAGATGCCCAATTGAGATTTCGAAATTCGCGCACTTGTCAGATTTGCCACTGGCCGACCCGGAACCGGCCAGTACAGCGCCGATTCAAATTATAATTGGAGCCGATTTATATAACGAGATCATATTGGACGGCCTTCGAAAAGGCGCTGTCGGCCAGCCGATCGCGCAACGGTCGATTTTCGGCTGGGTCATATCGGGATCCGTTAGTACGGAATTCATAGCAACATCTCATTCCGTCCGTGACGCGGTCCATGCGTTACCGTCATTGAAAGTCTCCACGCATCACTGCGCGCTCTCATCGGACCTCGAGGAGGACTTGAAACGATTTTGGGAAGTCGAAGAGATTCCTCATCATTCCGCTGTTCCCCCTACTGATGAGCAGTGCGAGCAGCACTTTCAAAATACGCATTCTCACTGCGCGGACGGAAAATACACCGTCCGTCTCCCTTTCAAAACGGCACTTCCAATCGCTATCGGGGACTCTCGAGAGCGCGAGAGAAAGCTTTTCGTCTCGCTCACTAGACGACTACGATCTCACCCGACGCAGGCCGCCGAATACAACGCTTTTATGAAGGAATACGAGCTCCTCGGTCACATGCGTCGCGCGCCCGTGGCAGCGGCTTCTAGCGAATCGCAGTGCGTGTTTATCCCACATCATCCAGTTTTCCGCGAGGATAGCGTCACCACCCATCTCCGCGTCGTTTTTAATGCTTCGTGTTTAACGGCGAATGGAACGAGCTTAAACGACCACCTGCTCACGGGTCCGAAGTTGCAAACGGACATCACTGCTGTGATCTTAAAGTGGCGACGGTATCAGTACGTCTATTCCGCAGATATCGCGAAAATGTACCGCCAAATACGACTGGATGAACACGATCTCAATTATCAGCGCATTCTGTGGAACTCCGACTTTTCTGAGTCTCCGATTGAGTATCAATTACTCACGGTGACCTACGGAATGTCTTGCGCACCCTTCCCCGCCCTACGTGTTCTGCAACAACTAATAACGGATCAGGGGGCTCAGTTTCCGCTTGCTGTCCCGATTCTACGCGAGCATATTTATGTGAATGTGTTGTTCGGGAGCGACAACATCCCGTCTTTGCGCGAAACCCGCACGCAGCTCGAAAACCTTTTACGCTGCGGAGGGTTTAATTTGCGAAAATGAGCGGGTAACTCGCGTATCCTCCTAGAGGATATCGACGCCGCAGACTACGGTTTAGCTATTCATAGATCCCTAGCTCTCGATGAAAAGCTTAAGATTCTCGGACTCGGCTGGAATCGTCGCTCGATTCGTTTCAATTTACAGTCTCGCTCGTGAATCACGTGCCCCCAACAAAACGGACCATTTTATCTGCAATCACCAAATTGTACGATTCCCTGGGGTGGGTTACACCGGTAACGATAACCGCGAAAATTCTCATGCAACATCTGTGGAAAGAACAATTCGCCTGGGATGAGCCGGTGTCGGAGCCACTTCTCAGCCGATGGCATAGGATTTATTCATGCCTCTCGTTTCTGAACGGACTTCGAATAGAACGCTGGACCGGCCTGGAGCCCGGAGCCCATGCCGAACTGCATGGCTTTTGCGACGCCTCCAACACCGCTTACGCCGCCGCGGTATACTTAAAAATCACCTCACCATCGGGTCAAGTCACTCTTACATTGCTCGCCGAGAAATCGCGAGTTGCGCCTCTGACACCGCTCAGTATTCCCCGGCTCGAATTGTCATCCGCGGTGCTTCTCGCTCGCTTGCTCGCTTTCATTCGCGGATCATTCAGGTTGCCGGACGCTCCGTGTTTTTGCTGGACTTGCAGATTGTGCTCGCTTGGCTCAGACAGCACCCGTCCCGGTGGAGGACTTTTGTTGCCAACCGCGTGGCCTTTGTTCGAACCCAGGTGCCCAATGTCTCGTAGTGATACGTATCCACACATGATAACCCCGCCGATTGTGCGTCGCGAGGTCTTCTCGGGAACGAGCTTCGCGATCACTCATTGTGGTGGCGGGGGCCATAGTGGCTGTGCTTTCCTTCGAAAGATTGGCCTCTCAATGAGTTAAATCTTCCGACTAGCGCTCCTCTCGAAGAGAAAATTGCCGCATATCATTGCACTGAACCGCGCGATCCGTTCAGCATTGCTTCACGTTTCTCGTCGTGGCCGAGGCTTATCCGCGTAACCGCCTATCTTTTTCGGTTCCTCTCCCCATGCCGTCGCCATTCGACCGACGCTCCGCAGAATGCCGCATTCGGCCGCGCTCTCACAGCGGCTGAGTGCGATCGCGCTCGTATTTTATGGATCAAACAAGTGTAGATCGAGCTATTTTCCAAGGAAATTGGTGCCCTCACACTCAAACGTAATGTGTCGCCGAAAAGTCCGATTCTCTCTCTCTGTCCATTCTTGGACCGTGACGGCGTGCTTCGTGTCGGCGGGAGAATTCAGAACGCGCCGGTTCCTTATCAAATCCGTCACCCGATTCTACTTAGCTTGCATGCAGTAGTCGACCGCATCGTACAGCACGCTCACTTGAGAGCTCTTCATGCGGGACCGCAGCTCACCCTGAGTACGTTGCGCCGCGACTTTTGGATCGTCCGCGCTCGAAGCATTGTTAAAGCGATCATTTATCGATACGTCGCATGTACACGCGAATGGGCCGCGATTCCGTCTCAACGAATGAGCGATTTTCTTGCCGTGCGAGTTTCAGCCCCCCCAGATGTTTTTTACACTGCAGAGTCGACTACGCGGGCCTATTGCAGGTGCGCGCTTCCGCCGGTCGCGGGATAACCTCTCGGAAGCGTACTTCGCGTTGTTTGTTTGCCTCGCCACTCGGGCGATACATTTGGAGTTGGTTTCCGATTACTCCACTCTAGTTTTTCTGAACGCGTTCACTCGCTTTTGCTCGCGTCGTGAGCTTCCGCAGGCTCTCTATTCGGACAATGGGACGACGTTCGTTGCCGATAAAGAACTCGCGACCGCATATAAGGCAGCCATTCGCGATTCTCATTTCCGGAATTTCATTGCGACCGACCGTGTTGCATGGCACTTTATTCCGCCGGCCGCTCCACACTTTGGCGGCATTTGGGAGGCCGGCGTCCGCAGTGTCAAGCATCATCTGCGTCGCACTCTCGGAACACACACGCTCACCTTTGAAGAGCTAACCTCGCTGCTCTGCAAAATCGAGGCGTGTCTCAATTTCCGTCCTCTTGCGCCGCTATCCGATACTTTCGGCGATTACGAATCCTTAACTCCGGGTCATTTTTTAATCGCATCCGCGCTGACAACCGCCCCGGAGCCGAGTTTACTCGACGTAAACGAACATCGACTTACTCGTTGGCAGCTCGTCCGCCAGATGACTGAGTGCTTTTGGAAGATTTGGCAGACAGATTATGTCAACACGCTACAACAACGCACAAAATGGCGAAAACTCGAGCCGCCAATAAGACTCAGACAGCTCGTCCTCCTCCGCAACCCGACTCGACCCCCGTGCAAGTGGGAGCTAGGACGAGTCACCCAGTGCTTTCCTGGGGCCGACGGCCTTATACGCGTCGTCATCGTCAAACGGCTCGCGAGGAGTTTAAGCGACCTATCGTTCAGATGTGCGCATTGCCAATCGATTACAAGGCAGCGATCCCTCTGAGAGCAGCGATCCGCCGCGACCAGAAGTCTGGAAAGGCCTTGGATGCATTAATTGACTCTGCCTAAATTCGGATGAGCTAAACACTTCGACAAATGCGGAGCCAAAGGCAAACTATATGTTATGGCGGGCGGCCTAGTACTGTGCGAGCATGCGAATCACAATTCCGTAGACCGTCAAGTAAGACTCCTTAGGCAGTTCCCCGTGCGATGTGCGAACCTGCCTTATATCTCGTCACGCCCTTTATACCCAGAAGCGTTTCTCCATTATAATTGTACAGCGTCGCCGTTATGTGACCTCATGCTTTACATCAGCTATCTTATTGTATCATCTTTTGGTGCACTACTTAGGAGATTTTTGCGCCTGTCTTTTTTTTGTTTATAACTCGCCAGGTTATGTAACAACGATCGTAACCACTTTCGTAATTTCAAGGCGGGGGGTATGGTCGCGAGTCCACTTGGAAATATGAAAAACAAAGAAAAAAAAGGTAAACGAAGTTTCAACGAAAATTTTCGTATTGCTGCCATGTTATGATGTTTTGGGATAGCAGGCAGAAGAAGCCTCGATAAAGCGACCTAATTCCAAAATAAACAGCCGAAGTATTATGTCCAAATTAGTTCGATCGCTCTATTGTAATTTGAAGATTGTTGATCTCAGCGAAGTAACGACACGGCTGAATCTTCTGGAATTTCGACATCCAAGCTCGTGCCTAGACCTACGCGAGACATTGACGGCGAGAAAGAGAGGAGCTATATATATGACAATGGAAACCACAACTTCACTTCGCGTTCCGATTCGATTCTTTCTCGACGCCTGATCTCTCGTTCAGGTCCTCTCGCGCTTCTTTGTTAGCGGTTGCGACTTGCGTTGCTCACGGAGCAAAGCCGATCACTGCGTTGGTCCTTTCATTTTACGCGTAATAATCATTTTCTGTTCTCTTAGATCCTTTCTTTTTTTTTGTCGTGTAGAATTTTGGTATTCTTTTTTTTTTGTTTGTGATTGGGTTAGCTCGCAACACCGCCCGACTGGTGCGGCTCGATTGTGTGCGAGGTTGACCTTTAGACTAAAATTCAGCTAAATTCAATCTGACCAAAGACGGCTATTTTGAACCTCGCCCGTCCATCCATCCTCCTCCGCGGCACTCAATCGTCGATTCCACCGACCTCGTTGCCCAGCGCTGGGCGATACCGGTAAGTCGCGGAGCGATCTATCTCGCGCTGTTCGGCGACGAAACACACGCCAAGTGTTTTTTATGTAAATTTTAATTTTATTTTTTTGTATTAATTTTTTTGTAACTAATTTTTTGTGTAACATAATTTTTTTATTCTTGGTTACAAAATAAAAATTTTGTCATTATTCGTGTCAAAAGGAAACATCAAGAATGTAATATCTTTGCTCCAAATTATTTCTTCGTTTTAACGTTAACTACAGGGTGGTCCGTATGTACGAGCCGGCCGACGACTCGATAAGACGATTTCGGGGAACCGTCCGAGCGCGCGCGGGGAACCACCGGTGATTCTTGCCGTCCAAGGATCACCGCTCGAACGGTTCCCCACGCGCGTTTGGACGGTTCCCCGAATTCCTCATACAACTACTTGTGAACCGTTGTTGCGCCCGTACGTTGCGGTTACGAGTGCGTACGTGTGATAGCACTCGTCGAACATACGAGCGTAGCACACACACTCACGACAACAAATGTCGTCACCGTCTGCTGTCCCAGCGACACGACGAATCGTTTCTGTTGAGATGAGCGGCCAGATCGTTTATAGTGTCGGACATAGGCAAGCCGCCTGACAGTCTGTCCGGTGCTATGTTGTGCGACGAGCCAATTGTGAGCGGTACCGAGAAAATAAACGCGCGCAAATCGTCGCTGTTAGAGAGAGAGAACGATCCATAGCGACAATACCATCACTCCACCCTCCACTATGCGAGATTCTACGTACACTGTGTCGACGTGACGTCTTGACTCTGCACCAATCGTCCGCGCACGTCGTACAAGCCAGCCTTGCACGGACGATCATCCTGCACGCGAAGCAAGCGTTTGTCGGGCAACGGCATACTGCTCAACGAGGGATCTTGTCTATCGTAATTGCGCATGTAATCGTTCACTTGGGCCAAAGTACGAAGACGTTCGTGCTCGCCTCCCCGTGGGTGCCACCTTGACGTGGTGGGGAGGCTTGAAGGTCCCGATGATGTACAGAGCTGTGCCGGCGGGGGTTTCGGCCCCTGGCAGGTTCTACCATGCCGGAGTGGTCTGTACGGAGGGACTGGACCAAGAGCACCCGACCGGGCTGAGTGACCAGCCTAGTCCATGACCAGTATGGTCACAGAGCGGGTGGGAGAAGATCATCCCTGAAGCCATTGCCCGCCGGTGTTCCGGCAGCCGACAGGGATGACCTCCTCTACACTCGCTCCAGGAAGGGGACTTCTCTCTCGGAGGAATTGCACGCCGGTGCTCCGGCAGCCGAAGAGAGAGAACCCTTTCCTCCTGCTTCGGTTGGACTGTTATGGTTAGACCGGGGCGGAGGGACGTACCCGCATCCAGGGCTCCACCCCATGGGGATCCTCCCCCCATGGTGCCTGAGATGTGGAGGGGTGCTCCGGGCCGCTCGGACGTCTCCGAGTTCGGGGTCGGAGTACCCTATCGCGTCCCTAGAGATCCCACCCTCTGAGGCATTGCACGCCGGTGCTCCGGCAGCCGAAGAGGGGAGGACCTCTCTCCCTCATTCGTCCCAGCCACGGCTGGGCGAATGGAGGATCCCACACCCGGGTCTGCACACCATGGGACTATTCCCATGGTACCTGGGGGGTGGAGGGGTTTCCCGGGCCGCTCGGACTTATTCCGAGGTCGGGGTCGGGGTCGGGGCACCCTAGGGTGACGAGGGGAGAGGACCCCACCTTCATTGAAAGTGGACTCCCCGACTTCCCTCACCCGTTCGGCATCGGTCGAACGGACAGAGGAACCCACACCCGGGTCTGCACACCATGGGGCTTGCCCCA